CCGCTGCCACGGGGAGAGCGCGGCCTCCCGCCGCCGAGCCAGGCGGCACCGGGGCCGCACCTTGGGGAGGGCACCTCCCCCGGTCCATGGACTTGGCGGCCACGCGCCAATTCCATGGATCGCGAACTGATCCATGCTTGCGCGCCCCCGGCCGTGTCGGGGGCGGCAAAGAGGGGGGGGATGACTAGGGGGGCGGACATCATGGCGGGGGCCATGACATTTCCACAGATTTCACGGCGCCTCTTCTTATTCCATTACGTGCCTGGCCCCCCCGCTGGGCCGCGCACATGCCGCCGGTCATGATTAGCACCCCCCCCTCTTGGACACCCCCCTCTTGGCCGCTCCCGACCGTGGGCATTCGAGCATTTTCTTTGGGTGGAGGGCAAAGGGAGAGATCCGAAGTGCCGTTTCGAGGGATCTTATCGAGGCTTGACTCTGCAGAAGGCGAATCACAGGACGGATGGATCTTCGAGGTTCAGAAACCCATATGGATTTCACCCTGAGCCCTCCACCCTACGAGAATGCTCAGGCCATCATCGTCGCCGTCGCCGCCGCTGTCGGGACCGGGTAACGCCAAGAGCTGTCACCTCGAGCGCCTTGAGGCGGGGGTCGGTGCAAGCGGGGGTTGGCCAGGGCGCGGGAGTGTGCAGGGCCCTGCCAAGCCAGGGTTGCATTGACCCTGGCTAGCTCCAAGTCGGGCATGTCCCTCTACAGGAGGAATACTCAAAAATGATAAAACAAATAACAAATACTCTGGATCGATTTTCCTTCCATGTTTGACAATTTGGATGTGTTGTTTGACTATTTTTCATTGTTCTTTCAACATCCGCCTGTACGGGGACATGTCCGACCGAAGGCTAGCTCGCACGATCCTGATCCTGCAGCATCCGGCCTGATCTTGCAGGATCTTGCAAAGCCCCATTGGCCCGCCGGGCTTGCATTAACCCGAGGCAATAGACCCCCGATCACCACTAGACAGTGTAGCAAGCCCACTCAGCAGGCTGTCCTGCGAGAGTGGCCGAAACACCGCCAATCGAAGTCGACCGCGGCGCGATCGACCGCGGTGCGTTGTCTTCTTGTCCATGATGCGGGAGAGCCCCCTTGAGGGGAAGTGAATTCTCCATCCTGTTTTGCCTTTTTTTCTGGGAAAGCGAGCGCCGTGGGGCATATTACATTTGAAGGTCAACGGAGCTAATTTTAAGCAACTAGCGGTCTCTTCGGGAGGCGTGCTCTCGGGAAGATGTGGGTTGATCAGAAGGAGGAGGCGCGTATCGTGCCGCTGTGCCAGCACCCTGCTTCCCCAGACCCCAGGCGTCCTGGAAAATCAGGGCGGCCGTGTTGTTTAATCATGAAGTCCGTGTTGGGCCAGGGGCCACAAACATTGGCCTGGCAAGGGACCCAACCATATTCGGCTGCCAGTACCGCAAGACAGGTGGAAACTAAGAGAGGGTGTCAGCAAAAGGATTTAGGCGTGCGTGAGAAGGACGGAGCGACGTTGTTGATGGGGTTGCAGGGGTCAGCCGCAACGGGTTACATCTGGATGTAACCCGTCACGGATGATCTGCGCGTTCGTCAGCTTTGCTTGTGGGGAGCAGCAGGGCGCGGTTTGGGGAGTGGCAGGCGGCGGGGACTCTGGCGGAGCTCCTGTCGGGCTACGAAAAGGTGCAAGGGGTGTGCCAAAATGGACGCGGTCACGCATGCGATGTTTGCCTTTTGCGGCCGTCGGTGGAGCTCCCTAGGAGGCTGCGAAACGTGCGAGGGATGTGCCGAAATAGGCGCGGTCGCCCATGGGATGCCCTCCACTGGGGCCTTCGGCGGAGTTCCCTACGGGGCCACGAAACGTGCGAGGGGTGTGCCGACATGGGCACCGTCACGCATAGGATTCTTACCAAGGGGGCTGTAGGTGGAGCTCCTTGCGGGGCCACGTGTGAGGAGTGTGCCGACATGGGCACGGTCACGCATAGGATTCTTGCCAACGGGGTTGTAGGTGGAGCTCCTTGTGGGCCACGTGTGACGAATGTGCCGACACGGGCGCGGTCACGCATGCGATGTTTGCCTTTTTGTGGCCTTCGGTGGAGCTCCCTATAGGGCCACGAGACGTTTGAGGTGTATACCGAAAAGACTTGGAGAAGGCATGCAAACGCAGCCAGTGGGGCCTTAGGCGGAGCTCCCTATTCGGCCACGAAACATGTGAGGGGTGCGCCAGCCTGGGGTGGCGGCGGCATGCGAACGCAGCCATCAAAACCTCAGGCGAGGCTCTCTATGGTGCCACGAAACGTTAGAGGGTGCGCCAAAGAGGGGTGGCGGCTGCATGCGAACGCAGCCACTGGGGCCGAAGGCGGAGCCGCCTATGGGAGCCGAAACGTACGAGTGGTGCGGGATGCCGGCGGCAAGCGAACGCAGCCATTGGGGCATTAGGCGAGCTCCCTAAGGGCACGAAACGTGCAAGCGAACGCAGCCACTTGGGCATTAGGCGGAGCTCCCTATTGGGCCACGAAGCGTGAGAGGTGCGCCGAAGTGGAGTGGCGGCGGCATGCGGGCGCAGCCACTGGGGCCTTAGGCGGAGCTCCCTATTCGGCCACGAAACATGTGAGGGGTGCGCCAACATAGGGTGGCGGCGGCATGCGAACGCAGTCATTGGGGCCTTAGGTGGTGCTTCCTATGGGGCCACGAAGCGTGTGAGTGTTGCGCCAAAAGTGTTGTGGCGGCGGCATGCGAACGCAACCTGTGGGGCCTTCGGTGGAGCTCCTTCCAGAACTCAGCTCGGCGATCCAGGACCACGGAGACGTCCGAAGTAGGGGCCCTCGCCTTCCCCCTCCGTTTCGTCGGCCTCCTGCCTCTCCCGGTGCTCCCCCCTTGCCCCGACTCTCCCTCCTCTGGATATGTTCCGAGCTCAAGCATTTACACGCATCCATTCTGCAAACCGAAGTTGGCACCGGAAACGGGGCCTCACCGGTAGAGAGAGGCATGGTCTCCGCTGTGCTCCGCTCCCTGGCGCTCGTCGCGGGCGCCCAGGTCCCCGCCTCCGCGATCCACGTCCTGGAGGGGGGGCCCCGTGCCTCGGACGTCGCCGCCGTGGAGTCGCTCTCCTTCGAGGGCTTCGCCGCGAAGTTCAACCGCTCCTACGCGGCGGGCAGCGCGGAGTGGGCCAAGAGGGAGGCAATCTTCGCCGGAAAGAAGGCTCGGGGAACAGATCGGGAGCCTTGATACGGGTGTCAATGCAAACGGGGGTCAGCCAGAGCGCCGGATCTTGCAGGATCTTGCAGGACCAGGGTCGCACTGACCCGGGTGTGGGTGCAGGATCCTGCAGGATTTTGCAGGATCCGTCGCATTGACCCGGGTTTGGGTGCAGGATCTTGCAAAATCTTGCAAGGCCTGAGTGATCCGGGTCTGGATTGACCCAGGTCAGAGGATCCCCGAACAGAGAGCGGCAGAAGCAGAAATTTTCGGCGGTCCGCGCGGATGCTTCGGATCGGCGCTGGCGCCCCCTGGCGGCGCTTCCGGCGCCCCCGTCGCACTTCGTGCGGCGGGGGGGATTCGCACGAGGGAAGCGGGCCCGGAGGGCCACGGCTCCTGGACCCCGTGGGGCCTTCCCCCAGGACGGGGTCTTCGTCCCGGGTCGTCGTCCGGCAGTCCCGGGACCCGTGGAGGGCCCCGGGAGCCTGGAAGCGGGGCAGACTGTCAGGACCCGTTTCCCTCGGGGCCCGCTGTCCCAGGGCGAGGGGAGGGGCCAGCGCCGATGCAAGAGATCCGTGCGGGCCTCCGGAAGCTTCGTCGGGGAGGCGTAAGCCTCGGGTAGGCCAGCAGTCAGCTCGGCGGGCGTTTTTTGGCGAGCGCGTCCTGGATTTTGACGGTGCAGTTTTCGTGGGATGTTTGCAGCGGGAGCTCGCATCGAATTTCAGATTGGGTCTCGTCATTCTTATGATGGCCCCGTCAGGCCAACCCGAGTCCCCCGCACCCGAGTCTAGAGTCTCCCCGATGTGTGTGTGTGTGTTGTGCCATGCATTGTGTCTCCTCAAAGGCGGAGGTGCTGGCCTTCCTGCGCGGCCCGCCGCAGCCGTGGGCCATGGGCATCACGCAGTTCGCCGACTACTCGGCGGCCGAATACCAGGCCATCAGGGCTCGACCTCAGCGTAAGCCGGGCCTGTCCCTCTACAGGGGGTATGCTCAAAAATAGTCGAAAAATAGTCTGGGGACGATATTTCGACTATGTTTGACAATTTGTTGCATCATTGTTTGATTATTTTTATTGTTTCGTCCAATATCCGCCTGCAGGGGGGCATGCCCGACCTAAACCTAAGCGGTGTTCTGGCGATGGCGTGGACCGTTTTCGTTTCGAGGCTGTCTTGCAGCAGAGGCGGAGCGAACACAGGACGAAGCAACGCGAACACAGCACGAGAACGGAAAACCCTGGCGACGACGACGAAGACGACGACGGCGGCGGCGGCAGCGGCAGCGGCAGCGGCGGCGACGACGCCGACGACGACGGTCCACCACAACGACGACGACGACGACGACGACGCCCTGCAGGCCATCCTGGGCTACAAGGGGCGCCGCGGCGGCACCGGCGACGGGGAACGCGCCGCCCTCGCCCGCGAGCGCACCTGGTCGTACCCGCCCGCCTTCTCCGTGAGGGGCGACGGCAGCAAGCTGAACGACCTCGTGCGCGACCAAGGATCCCCAGACATGATCGCGTCGTAAAAAATCAGGACGTCAAGTTTTTCGCTATTTTCGGCCCCTGTGGGCCCTCGCCAGGCATCAGGACTATCACAAAACGATTCAGAATGAGAAATTGGTCCTGGGGAAAGGGTCTGGACTTCCGGGAACGCCGTATTGAAAACATCCGGACGTCGCATGTTTGGGTCGGAACAGTCAGAACGAGGCATAAGATCGAGGTCGGTTCGGGGAGGGTACCTCGGTGTTCTTCGTGTCTTCTGGATGCTCGTGCGCATCCCGGCGAAGGGTACCCTCGGATGTTTTCTGTGTGCATTGGCCGGCGGAGGGTCTCTTGTTCTGGAGGGTGTTCTGCTGGCCAAGGTCCGACTGTATTGTGAAGGTCTTACGGCCAGCGTCGCCGACCCTGAAGGGGAACGACGACGACGACGACGACGACGACGACGACGACGACGACGACGGCGGCGGCGACGACGACGACGACGACGACGGCGACGGCGACGACGACGACGACACTGATGATCTGGAGCCGAAAGCTTTTTCAATGAGCAGTGCTCCCCCCCGGTGGGGTGGGGGGGGGGCACAACCCGCGGACCCCCCCACCCCACCCACCCCAGGACCGACCTCGCGCGCGACCAAGGTTCGGCGAATTGAGCGAAAACAACGCGTAGCTTCAAGCAGAAATGCGGCTCGGCACAAAGAGCAAAATGAATACGAGTGCTAAATCTACGTGCGTATACGTATATTGCGACATTCGACGTGTACACGTGTGTCTGTACATGTGTATATATATATATACATATATATATATGTGGACAACATGTATACTTGTGCATACCGGCGTGTATAAATCTATATACTTATATATGGCTGTATATAAATATATAAATATCGAGGACGCCGGCGGCGCATCACCGGCCGCTCCTTGGGAGTTTTTCGAAGAGGTGCGCAGCATCGAAAGTCGTGACGCGGCGCGTATGCCAGCTATCAAATAGCCGTCGCCCCATCCCGCCACCGTGCTTGGGTTTTGGGTCGGACGGAGTCCTCATGGACGCTTCCTGGGGTCTCTCGAGAGGGCTCTCGGAGGCTTCTGCGGGGCAGTTTAGGGGCCTCTTGGGGGCGTCCCAGGGGCTTCTTGGAGACCTCTTGAGGCCCTCTTGGGGCCTCTTGGGGCTCTCTTGGGGTTTGTTGGGGGCCTCCAGGGGGCCTCTTAGGGTCTCCTGGGGGCCTCTCGAGCCGAAAGCTCGACATGTTCATTCGGGTACCCCTTCTGGGCCTCCTCTTGGGGCCATCCTGGGACCCCTCTTGGGCCGTTCCGGGGGCCTCTTGGGCGGTCTTGGGGCCCTCTTGGGCCGTCTTGGGGCCGTCTTGGGGGCCTGTTGGGCCGTCCTGGGGCGATCTGGGGGGCCTCTTGGGCCGTCGTGGAGCGTGGGTAAGCCGAAATGGCGTGAACGTGTAAATCCTTCAAAAACCATTGAAAAATCCATGATTTTTGCTTCTCGGGGCTGTCTTGGGGGTGCTCTTGGAGCCCTCTTGGGCCGTCTTGGAGGCGTCTTGGGCCGTCTGGAGGCCATCTTAGGCGTCTTGGAGCGATCTGGAACCGTCTGGAGGCTCGCTTGGGCCGTCTTGGGGCTCTCTTGGCCCGTTTTAGGGCGCTCTTGAATCGCCCCCGGGCGCCGGAACTGTTCAGGGAGGGGGGGTCCGCCGGCAGAGTGGGGCCCCCTCGGAGGGACTTTCAGGAGGGCTTTGACCAGCCACTGGCGAAGGAAGGGGAAAGGTAGTGCCGAACACTTTGTCAGAGAGGTCTCGCACGGCCCAACCCGCCGGGCGGGAGTATGACTGTATATAAATATATAAATATCTTAAGGACTTCGGCCTCTGCCGCTGGCCGCCCTATTACTAGTTCGTGCGGCTGCGTGGATAGCGCCGTGGGTGCTTCTCGTGGCAGGCTCCTCGGCAGCGTCTGCGGGTCACTGTTGGGGCTCCTTGGAAGCCGTTTTGGAGCCTCTTGGGGCATAGTTCTGAGTCTCGTGGGGGTCTCCCTGGGGCCTCGCGCGAGCCTCTTGGGGGCCTCTCGGGACCTCCCTGGGGCCTCCTGGGGCCCTCTCGGGGCGAGAAGGCCAAAAACCTGCAGAAGCGTGAGAAGAAATCGTTGATGTTTGCTTCGTGGGGCCCCCTTGAGAGGGCCTCTTGGGCCGTCTTGGCAGCATCCTGGGCCGTCTTGGGGCCCTCGTGGGGCCTCTTGGGGCCATCGTGGGGCCGCCTTGGGCTCCCGAGGCTCTCCTCCGAGCCTCTTCGGGTGGTCTTAAGGAGGCCTCGCGGGCCGCTCCGGCCGCGCGGTGGCGCCGCCATGAGAATCCTGGGGTGGCCCGGAGCGGCCAGGATCTGAGGTTCACCCCCAGGCAGGAACCTGGACTGGAGAGACAGAAAGGCCAAACAACAAACGACAACACACCACACATGACAGCGGACCGCACCCACCCTCGCAGCCTTGCGCCCCCGGCGGGGGCAGGCGGATACATGCACACCCGTCCCCGGAAGAGACTGCGAAGCAATGTCGGGCTCGACCGCGTGGCCCTGCCCCTCGCACGAGCCGAGGTTTGAACCGACGTGTCGTTTCTTATGGCGCGCGCATGCTCTTGAATTCACTTCGTCTGCACAGGGTTCAGTCTAGCTTCGATGGAGGGGGGATATATATATAGAGAGAGAGAGATACATACATGCAGCACAGGCGAGCAAAGCAAGTGGGCAGGGCGAGGGTGGCGGCTTCCGGAGCAGGCAAGGGGGAGCTTCCGCGGAGCCCTCCTCGCCTTCCGGGAAGCCTTCTGGCAGAAGCTTTAAGTCGGGCGTGTCTCTCTACAGGAGGAATGTTCAAAGATAGTCAAACAGAATTGTTTGGGGACAACTTTTCGAGTATTCATGATCGTCTTTGAACATTGCTTGGGATATTCTTTCTTCTTCGTCCAAACTCCACCTGTAGGAGGACATTCCCGACCCAACAGAAGCCCCCGGCCCCCTTCCCAGAGCACCCCAACCACGCGGACCGCGCCGCCCTCGCCCCGACCGTGCTGGCGGCGCACCGCCGGCAGGCTCCTGCGGCTCGTGCTGGGCCGAGGCCGCCACGGCCGCGCTGGAGGGCCAGATGGAGGCCAACAAGACGATGATGAGCCACCTGCGCGGGGTCCTCGACAAGATGGGCAAGACCTCGCAGAAGCCGACGCTGTCCTCGCAGGCGATGGTGTCCTGCACGAAGAACCCGCGGAACTGCGGCGGCTCGGGCGGCTGCGAGGGAGCCACCGTGGAGCTCGCGTACGAGATGGTGAAGGAGCAGGGGGGCATTCCGATGGCCGTCGAGTGGGGCTACGTGTCCGGCTTCGGGTCCACCCCGGAGTGCAATACAGACGTCTTCAAGAAGGCATCAGGGGCAACAATGAAAGGGGATGGGCTCAGGAGGGTGTGCATCGATCCCCAATCACCCATTCATCGCCGACGGGCCCGACAGCCCACCCCGCCCAAGACCGTGCAAATTCGCTGTCGCGGGCCTATCGCCGATCTATCGGCGATGTCGCCGATTCCAGCTCGATGTTTCCACACTTGAGCGGGTCCCCCCTAAGTTTGCCCCTCATAGGCGTCGGTGGGCATCACTGGATACGAGACGCTCCCCTCCAACAAGCTGCACCCGCTCATGCAGGCGCTCTACGAGTCAGGCGGCGCCATCGCTGTGTCGGTGGACGCCACCCACTGGTCCATGTACATGGGGGGCATTTTCAGCGACACCAGTGGCACTCGAAGATGAGACAAATGACACAGACATCAATTGTCGGAGCTCCGCGCGGATTGCTTGGATCGGCGCTGGACCCACCTGGCGGCACCTATGGCGGCGCCGCCCCTGGCGCGCTCCGCGCGGCAGGGAGGGGGACCCAGCGCCGATCCATGAAATCCAAGCAGAGCTTCGAAAGATCATGTCCATGCCATGCCAGTTTCTCATCCTCCAGGCATGCGCAAGGGCGACTTCACCGTCAACCACGCCGTCACGCTGGTGGCCTACAAGGTTCCCAAGAAGGGGAACGCCGTGCCCGCGCCGAGCTCCCAGTCTTCCGGCTTCAGGTCTCGGCACGCCCGAAATTGGTACGGAAAAGTGGGCACGATGCCGAACAGCAAACGTTGTCCAGAACCAATAGCGGCCGTTGTTAGGCGGGCGACTTTCTGCCTGAAATTGGCAACGCACGCGGCGACGCCGACAGCAAGTCGTGCGCAAACTGGACAGGAATTGTTGCCGGTATTCGTTCCCAGTAAGTATGTCCGCACTCTGAAGGTCGGAGGCCCAGATGGGATATTGGTTGATAAAGAATTCGTGGGGCACCTCCTGGGGCGAGGACGGCTTCATCCGCCTGGAAATGAAGGATCGCGGAAACGTAAGGCTCGAGTTCGCCAGAACTCGTGCTTGCCTGCGCTTTTTGCCAGGCCAGTCCTGAATTTTGACGGGTCAGTTTCCGCGGGACGTTCGCGGCGGGAGTTCGCGTCGAAATTCAGGCTGGGTCTCGTCATATTGGCCCCGTCGGGCCAACCCGTGCCCCCCGAACCCGAGTCTAGCGTTATGATGTTCCAACCTATTGTAGCCTTGACCACCAGAATAAATTTCGAGCACCAAGAATACACTCCAAAACTCGAGGGTTTCCACGTGCCGGGCCCTGGGAGACACTCTTTCGACACTGTTTCGAAACTTCTTCAACATTTTTCTGGGTGTTCGAACTTATTTCTGCAAGTACGATGGGAGCAACACAAGTCTAGCGTCTCCCCGACAGGAGAACGAGGCCGAGCACTGCGGCATGGACACCAAGACCCACGAGGGGCTCGCGTGCGACGGCGACCCCGACGAGGCCTGGGTGTGCGGCACCTGCGGCGTGCTGTACGACTCTGTCTACCCGACCGGCGTGCACCTGGTTGACCCCGCGTGATGCGGTGCTGTGAGCCAGAGACCCCGGAAGGAGACGCATGCACAGCGTATATACACATGTCGACTACACGCCAGAGTGACCTTCGCCGCAGTGTGCCCTTCGGTGCGGGCTCGTCGGGCTCCCCCCGATCGCCGAGCGCGATGCGACATAAGCGGCTCGCGCCCTTGGATTTGGCTCCCTCGCGCCCCCAACAGCTGCGCACCAGAGGTCACTCGTACCCAGGGTCACTCTTTCGCCTAGCCGAACATTGTTCATGTCTGATTCTCCGAACATTCCTTGATTTTTGGGGGGCCGAGAGCCTTTCAGTTCTGCTGGGTGCTCTGGGCCTCTTCCTGGCCACTTGGGGGCCAGGAACAATCAGAAACGAGCACAACTAGAAACGAGCACGATGAGACATGAACGACGTGTACAGATGGCCGGAGCTCCGCGCGGCTTTCTCGGATCTGCGCTGGACCCGCCCGGCGGCGCCGCCGGCGCCGCGCCTGGCGCGTGCCCCGCGCGCCAGCGAGGGGGGCCCAGCACCGCTCCGAGAACTCACGGCGGGGCTCCGAAAATTTCCGCTCGTGCCGCGTCTCCTTCCCCTGGGGGAGGAGGAGGAGGAGGAGGAGGAGGAGGAGGAGGAGGAGGAGGAGGAGGAGGAGGGTCCGGGTGGACAGGGGCCCAAACGGTTTCCGGCCGTTGCCGGCCAGTAGTTCTTGGTGGCGTCCGGGTGGCCCCGCCTCCAGGCCCGCGAGCGGTCTGAGCCTCAGCGTGCATCGGCGGCGCGCGCGAGGGGGGAGGAGGGGGGAGCTGCGCTCGGGGGAGGTGGGGCGGGGGGGTCCGAGGAGGAGGAGGAGCCCGCGAGTTCGCTGCCCTGGCCTCGTCTTCGCTCGTGCTCGGCGGCGAGCGCGGGGGGGGAAGGTGAGAAGGAAGGGAGGCCCTCCCAGAAGGCGGCGGGACTTCTCGGAAGCCCTCGCGTCGCCTCCCCCCCTATGCTCCGGCCACGCGGGGTGGCCCCGTGCCCCCCGGGGCCCCCCCCAAACTCCTCGGAGGGCCGCTCCCCGTCCTCCCTCGTGCGCGCCACCGCGGTGCCAGCACGAGGTCTACACAATATATGTATGCTGTCGCCAGCGAGCGCCTGCCCGTGGGGGTTCCCCCGGGCGTGCCCCCGCACGCCCGTGCGGCAGGGCTCCGAATAGTCGCCGTCCGCGTTTGGGGAGCCGCCGCCTGCGAGGAGCGCGGCGTGCCGCGTAGAGTCCGCGCGAGGGGGAGGCGGGAACTGGTAGAGTCCTCCTCCTCCTCCTCCTCCTCCTCCTCCTCATCGTCCTCCTCCTCCTCCTCCTCCTCCTCCTCCTCCTCCTCCTCCTCTTACTCTTATTCCTACTCCTCCTCAATAATTCAGTACCTCGCTGCGGCCTTCGTGCTTCGGTGCCGTCGTGAGGAAGGACCTCACCAGCCGGTGACTCCCTGGTTTGAGCCCCCCCAGGCTCGACCGGCCCTGAGGTGGCCTGGAGGACAGCGCTCGGAGAATTCACATGCCATCAGGAACCAGGGGTCAGGAGGAGGAAGCAGGCACGCACGAGGAGGAAGGAGGCGGGATGTGCGGGTGGCTGGGGCGAGGAGAATCGTTGAGCTAGCAGTATATATAGTTTAGTCGGTCAGCGTGCTGCTTGTACATGCTAATGTGTTGATTTAGTGTTTGAGGTTGTTAGTTGATGTTCTGTACGAGAAGGAGGAGGAGGAAGAGGAGGAGGAGGAAGCAGGCTGGGGGAGGAGGGAGGGGGATTCTGGAGGGAGGAGGGCGAGGAAGGGCAGAGGGACGGGGAGGAGGCAGGAGGAAGTGGGAGGGGCAGTGGGCAGCAGGTGGGGGCTCGGAGTGGGAAGCACGGGGCCCGGAGCGGGAAAGGAGGAGGGAGGAGAAGTACAGTCAATGCGGCGCGCCTTCATCTAGGGTACCCCAGATTTCGTAATAAAGGGAGGGGGTCTCATTTCGGGGGGGGTCTCTTCCAGGCTATCTTGGAGGGCCTGGGGGGTCTGGGGACGATGTTTTGGAGGGTTCTCCCACGGGGGAGGTCTGAAATGGCTTGTCTTGGAGGGTCCAGACCCCCTCCTTTTTATTACGAAATCTGGAGTACCCTTGCGTCCTTGCCTCTGCGGCCCGTCCTTGCCTCATCACCCAAAGACTCCTTCGGCCTCCAATGGTCTTGCGTCCTTACCACCCGTCCTCAAGGCACGTCTCGACTGCAGACTAGAAGGGAAAGGCGAGAGGGAGGGGGAGGAGGAGCTGGGAGGGGAGGAGGGAGGGGAGGAGGGAGGGGAGGAAGAGAAAGGGTCAGAATGAAAAGGCGGTTTGAGGCGGAGAGGCAGGACGGAGGTGGGAAGCGGTGCAGAAGGAGGCGTGCCGCCTCTCTCCCTTCTCACCCCCGCGCCCCATTCAACCCGCCTCCCTCCGCCTCCCACCTCCATCTCGCCCCACACTCACCCAATATGAGTACTCTATCCTCCATCCCCCTGGTGCTGTCTTGATTCCACCCCCCCCCCTATCCTGCATGTGGCCTTCTGTTCGCAGGAGTGTCCCCAGTCGCCCTTCCGCTCGGTTTTTCCCATCCGAGCGCTCCTGGCCTTTCAAAAGTGGCACGCCCGCGGCAGGCCTTGGCCGCCTTTCGGGCTCGCCGGTTCGCTCGCGCTGCTCGGATGTCTGTCCTCGCGCCCCGGCGCTGGCCCCGCTTCTGGATCCGGTTTTCGTTCCTCGTCGTCGCCGTCCTTGCCCGCCGACCGTCAACCCGCACAGAAAAGAGGGCCAGTCTTCCCAAGGGTACCCTGTCGATCAGACGTAAGGGTGACCTTTCGCAGGAGTGACCTTTGGTGCGGGTACAGATGGGTCCCCAGATGGCTGAAAACGAAACTGTAGCAGCTGCTTGCGCACCCAGGTTTGGTCCCCCCGCGGTCCCCAAAAAGCCGCGCACCAAAGGTCACTCTTACCCACGGTCACTCTTGCGTGTAGCCGACCCTTGCATCCTTACCTCCTCGGCTCATCCTTGGCCACTTTCGTTGGCCGCGCCCCGCTCGAAAAGTTTCGACATAGCCTTCCAAGGCCCTTACAACCTTATCGCGCATCCCTTCTATACGGGCTAACTGTACCCCTCCGGCTTCCCCCGGCTCCCCCTGCTCCCTCAGTTCTTTCCCAGACATCCGATGTCTTGATTTTTGCTCAAGTCGGGGTCCCTGGGTGTCCGAACGCCTTCCACGGGGCGGGCTTCTCCTTCCTGAGTCGTCAGCTGACACCTCCTGGGGCCCGTCGAGGGCCCAAAGCGGCCGAGAACGGCGAAACGCACCTCTGCACGGTAGGCTTCAGTCCTTTCTGGAGGGGTCCAGGCTTTGCTCCTGCTGCTGCGAGCATCCAGGCCTCCTGGATGGGGTCCGAGTAGATGGGGTCGGAGGATAGCGCCGCATCGCCGATGCATCGGCGATGCGGCTCGATGCGAGGCCCGATGTTCTCCACGCCGACGTCGCCGATGCAACGCCGACGTCGACGATGCATCGCAGGGGCATCGCCGATGCATCGACGATGCATCGACGATGTGGCGAGATCATCCGACCCCACCTGCTCGGACCCATCTAGGAGGCCTCTAAAGTACGTCCGCTCAGGGGGTCCGCACCCCTCCTCCCCACCCTCGGTCGAGAGCCACTGGTCGGAGAGAGGAGAAGCGACACCAACACCACCAGGGGGGTCTCCTCCAGCCAGGAGGTCCACGATACGCCCCAAGAGGCCCCCAAGAGGACTCCCAAGAAGGCCTCAATAGGCAGAAATAGCCCCATTCCCTATAGATAACGTAAAATGTTTAGGAGTATTCGTCTCTGGAGCTTTCAGAGCATCCAAGACGGCCCGCGAGGCATCCAAGATCGCCTCAAGACTGCCCAAGAGGCTACCTGCAGGGCTCCAAGACGGCTCAAGAGAACCGCAAGAAGGCCCAACAGGCCCCCAAGACAGCCCATGAAGGCCCCAGGACGGCTTCAACAGGGAGCCCAGAGGGGGTACCCGAACTGATATTTCAAGCTTTCGGCCCCAAGACGCTCCCAGGAGGCCCCAGGAAACCACCACAAAGGCCCCAAGAGGCCCCAGAGCCTCCTCCCCAGACGCCCTGAGGCAGTCATGGCGATCCCGAAGCTTCCAGAGAGGAGAGGCGATGAACGGCCGTCCTGACGCGATCTTGGGCCGTCTTCGAGCTCAAGGTGGCCCAAGAGGGCTCCAGGATGGAGGGAGAATACGAGCTGCAATTTGGAGCCCTCTGCCCAAATATGACCCCCGAGGCCGCCTATAGGCGCCCAACAGGATAGGCCCCAAGAGGCGCCCGAGACGCCCGAAAGAAAACACAAAGAGGCCCACAAGAGACTTCAGGAGGTCTTCAGGAAGCCTCCAGGAGACTCCGAAGAGGCCCCCAACCCGGGTTCGAGAGACGTCGAAGCATACCCAGGCCCCAAGATGCCCCAACATGGCTCGCATGCGATCACAGCGTGAGGAGACAACACCCAAGCGATCAGAGCGGTGATCAGAGAGGCGGAAGAGAGACCCAAGACAGCACAAGAGCGCCCCAAGAAAGACCCAGAGGGCCTCCAGAGGCCCCCACGATGGTCCAGGAGGCCCTCAACGCCCAAGAGAGCCTCTAGACGGCATGGATGCCCCCACGACTGTCCAAGGAAGCCCCAAATGAGCCAAAAAGAGGCCCAACAGACCCTCACAAGGCCCCGAAGCGATCAGAGCGGTGATCAGAGAGGCCGAAAAAAGACCCAAGGTAGCACAAGAGCGCCCCCCAAGAAAGACCCAGAGGGTCGCCAGGCCTCCAAGACGGCCCAGGAGGCCCTGAACAGGCCTCAACAGGGCTCCCAGAACGCAGAAATCGCGTCATTCCCTTCCGAAGACGTGCATTATCAGCACATTCGCTGTTCGGGTCTCAGCAGCGTCCAAAACAGTCAAAAAAGCCTCGGTTATCGCCCCAAGACGGTCCAAGAGAGCCTCAAGA